CTAAAATCTTAATCAGCCCTTCCAAAACATCACTATTTTATATATCTCTTATATTATTCAAGAATTTGTTGATTAGACCATAATTACTTCTTAGATTTATTAATGTTTGAATCTTTGAATTATAGAAAAGTTGTTTTTTTTAAATAAAAAATATTATAAAAAAATAATACAATAGCAACAACCAAAAATGATTTATATTTTAATTTCTATACCTAAAAAATAAATTCTCATCATGTACATAAAAAAATTTATAAACAAAAAATAAAATATTATTTGAAAAAATAACATGATCTAACTTTGTCTGTTTATAAAATAAGTAAAAAATATAAAAAATGTATCAGACAGGACTTTGCAAAAAAAATAATTATAATTAAATTTTATCCACGCCTTTATTTCTTTTTTCTGGAATTATTTAGAAGGGTAAATAAATGAGAAAGCCGTTTATTTTAGCTCGCTATAACACCTGGTTCTTGAGATATAGGGGCTCAAATCTGTAAAATTTTTAAAATGCTTATATCTCAAAAACTAATTATATATCATATAGTAAGTAAAAATATTCTCTAAAGAGCTATCAAAAAATAATAAAAATTGGCGCCAAATTGAGTCTTTAACATTCGGTTTACAATGCTTTAGCTGTATTTTTAAGCAAAAAAGGGAGTTTGTTTTCAATGATATAATAAAATATATATTTATTAAATAATGTGAACAGGATTTCCATTAGTGTTGTTAAACGGCTCTTTTTGAGCCGATTTTTAAAAAAGGCTAAATCAATATTTTAACCAGAAAACAATTGTCTAAGCATCGAGTTTTCGATAATAGATGTCTAAACCTTTGTACCATCTATCCGGATCTGGACCTTGGGTCTGTGCTCAGAGCTGGTTTTGTCGATATTTTAGACCCAAACACCGGGTCTGGGCTCTACACAACCAACCAATTAACAACACTACTTATGCAGGCAAAAATAATTTTATATGTAAATAAGAAAATATCAAGTGTAGAAAAGGCTAATTTTATGTAATATTAAAGAACTTTTCATTCACTTTAGAGAGACTCATAACGATATACAGTTAGGTCTGAGTAGATTTGCTTTCTTACGACCTAAAAACTGTGTTTAAGCAGGTGGTCCAGGTACACATACCATGTGTATCTGCACATTACATTAAAATTTTAAGCTTATTTTAATAGGTGGAAAATTAAAACAGCTAACAAACAATATTGGTCATTATAATTATCCTGTGTAAAAACAGAACAAATAAATTAATTAATAACTAATTTGAAATATTCGTCCTCTAGTCGACTCAATTATATATTTCGTATTCATGGTCAAGTTGAAAGTCTAAAGTAAATAAATGTAAAAAATAGATCACAAATATCTTAATTAGTAAAATTTGAAATATTCGTCCTCTAGTCGACTCACGTTCATATCATATAAGTATAACTATTCATCCTCTAATCGGCTCAAGTATATATTTTGTATTCATAACTCAAGTTGGAAGTCTAAAGTAAATAAATGTAAAAAACAAAACAAATCTTAATAAATAAAAACTAATTTGAAATATTCGTCCTCTAGTCGACTCAATTATATATTTCGTATTCATGGTCAAGTTGAAAGTCTAAAGTAAATAAATGTAAAAAATAGATCACAAATATCTTAATTAGTAAAATTTGAAATATTCGTCCTCTAGTCGACTCACGTTCATATCATATAAGTATAACTATTCGTCCTCTAATCGGCTCAAGTATATATTTTGTATTCATAACTCAAGTTGGAAGTCTAAAGTAAATAAATGTAAAAAACAAAACAAATCTTAATAAATAAAAACTAATTTGAAATATTCGTCCTCTAGTCGACTCAAGTTCATAGAAAACTATTTGTCCTCTAGTCGACTCAAGTATATAATTCCTATTTGCAACTCAAGTTGGAAATCTAAAATAAAAAAAGTAATAAACAAATATCTTAATTAATAACTAATTTGAAATATTCGTCCTCTAGTCGAATCAAGTTAATAGAAATATTCGTCCTCTAGTCGACTCAAGTATATAAACTTGAGTTGTCAGTTTGGGTCGATTTTTTCGACCCAAAACTTAGACTCAGTTTTCGACTAAGTCGATTAACAACACTATCTATAATAGATTTTGATGTAGATAAGTTTATATGAAAGTTTATTTTCTGACCCAGTCTACAAATGTTATGGTTGAATTGGCCATAAGATATAATTCAAGAATTTAATAATAAATAATTATTAACATTTCATTTTGTCCATCAATATTTTATAAATCATTATCTGGATTTTAAAAATGATTAAAAAACTAAACATCAAATTTATATATTTTATCATAACATGCTAAAAAAATACTTATTTCAATCCTTTCACATTTTAACTAATAGAAGTTAAAGGGGGTGGGCTGGGTCAGTCCAAATATGGCTATTTATGCCACTTACCCCCTAGATAATTTTTATTCTATTACTGTTAATCTTAAAGTGGCCTTCGCCAGATCAAAAACGCCACCTACCACAAATATTTCTTTCGAAATATATACTATTGAAAATTTTTTGACGTATTATTTTTCCTAAAAACACTTAAATGAATATTTTTGCTGATTTTTATTATATAAAAAATATGTATATTATATTGAATTTAATACTACATTACGTGCTAGGTTTGAACAATTATTTAGTCATAGCTCATACTTTCTGATCGTATAGATGGGGATGGCAGTATGGAAATGTTATTATTGAGATGCAATAAAAAATAAACAAATTGCATATATAATTGAAATTATAGTAAAAAGTAGCTAATAGAGCGCTACCTTTTTGAAAACGGTAGCGCGATATTTCGATATTTTTAACAACATTTACTAGTATTCTGAAGAATTCTAAAAAATAGATAGCATAAAATCTCTTCAAATAAGATATCATATCCAGCGGTATTTTTAATATATTAGCCAAATTATAAAATCCAACAATTCGTGATTTTTGCAAGGTTATAACATTTATACATATGCAAATAGAATTATTAAAATCAAATTTTGATCGCTAATACTATAAACTTGTTTAAGTAAAAATATCTGCTTCATTTAAAAAGCCATTAATTAGGACAACATAAACAATTAAAATGACGTTTTTAATAATATAAAAATTCCGCCAATTCATTTTCGAAAAATTCTTGCAAATTTATAATTTCTATTTATAGAGGTTCATGATATTAAAATTCTTATAAGATAAATGACGCACTAACTCACACCATTTCATATCATACGTAGCGTCTGTGCTTGTTACTTGGTGAAATATATAATAATTAATGATTTTTTCTTCATCATTCAAAAATATTGAGGAGTTATGAAATGCTAGATTTTAAATAACTGATGATACTGAATTGGTTTTCAAAGTGCTTAAAAATATGATAATTATTTTATAGAAAAAAGCCCGTTATAATTTATAATTGTTATATATTTAAGCATATAAGGTTAATTTATACAAGAGAATTTACAAAACTAGACCTGTTTTTGGGAAAAAAAATTAAAATTTATTTTAAAAATAATCAAGTACTGTTTCTCATTATCTAAAATTAAAAACGTTAAAATGCTAAAAATTTTATGGCGGGAGATTTCAATAGGGATATGTCTACATGCAAACATAAAATTCTGGCAACCCTGTACTTGAATCGAGTTAGCTGCGAAGTGTATTATATTTATAACTTCATTATCATTTATAAATAAAGTTAAAAATCTGCGAGACTGAAACCTGTAGAAAACTATTTTTTTCTTCATACATTCTAAATTTGATTGAAAATAAAGAAAGAATGCATAAAACTCAACGATATAATATTATAACGTTCTTCAAGAGCCGTAATGCAACGCTCCCCTAAAATTATATATATCGAGTTGGATTAATAGGTGTTTAACAACAAAATTTTTTGTATTGTTTGATATACATTGTTGATAGATAATATAATTGGCATATTAATTTTATCTTTTCTTTTTAGAATTCTGAAAATTATAATTTCCTAAAATTTTAATATAAATTGCAAAATATATATTAAAATTTTTAAACTAAATCACGGAATTTAAATGTACTAATTAGGCATTCAATAACCAGGATGCTTAGTGCTGCTATAGCTTTTTATAGAATAAACATATTTTACTTTTTTTACAAGGCACTATTCAAATATTATATATAAGTGTAAATGTAAAAGTTAAATCTATTCTTGATTTAATATAAAATGGTAATGTTTTGTGAAGCAAACTGAAATTGAAAAATGCTAAATTTATAATTATCTAATAAATATAACTTCATAACATTTTCAATAACTGTTCTGAAAGTTTCGCGAAAATACCAATACCGTTGCAAAATTATTAACAAGCTCCGGTTCCATGATTCTGATTTAAAGTCATTTATATGGTTTAAATTATTTATCAAAAATATTTTTGTGTAAATGGAGACTGGTTAAAAATTTTATATTTTTTTCAAATAAATTACTTTTGGATTATAATTCTTTAAAAAAATTTCACTAATGGTATCGGTGCATCTCTGCATAGAACTAAATGTAAGCAATATAATAATTTTAGTTAGGGTGCTTAATATCCAAAATGTCAATTTAAGAATAAAAATTTATGGCATACATAATAATTTTAAATAAGAATAGAAGTAATATAATGTAAATGATTACCAATACTGGTACTTTTTAAAATAATACCCAAACTCCTTAATGATGAATTATTCACAGAATTTAGTTATTTTAATCATAAGAAAAAAATAAAGGTTTATCCGATCAAAAATGGATGATGAATTACAACCGAGCCTTAAATCCAGAAAAGGTACATTTGTAATTTCTCATTTAAATACTGCATCAGAGATAAATATATCATGAAGAAAAAATAGTATTACAACAGTATTTGAAATGAATTGCCTAGAGTTTGCAAAATGTTAAATAAAATACTCATCAAATAAATGAATAAAGAATGGAAGAATAATGATTGGTATAAAAACATAATTAATATCAGATAAGAACTAAATTTTATTGATATTATAGGCCCTCAATTAAAACATAATTTAAACCGTCAATATAGATTTGATCATATTTCGCAATACAATAAAGAAAATGATTTATTGTTTAAGGTGAAATATGTTGTCTTCCTCTAGCTTGTCGTCATATGTAAATGGTCTTTTATCGTTTCTAATTTTATTCCTTTTAACATTTTTAGCTTTAAAATTCGTTTTCTTATTTTTAACGTTTGATTGGTCGGATTCTGAGTTGTCAGAAGTGTCGTACAATTCCGAATGTGCATTAACGGCCAAAGGTATGTAATCATATTCCGATATCTTTGAAGAAAAAAAATTAATAATGTTGTTAACAGTAGGATAAAAATACGCTTTATGTCAATAGTTTTTTTTTGTTTTGAAAGCGTTGCTTAAAATTAAGGGCTATAACCCGCTGGTCAAAATATCAATAAAATATAAGCCCGAGATAAAAAAATATTTATGTTATATTTCCTTCATATTCTTTCTTCTTTGCCTGATTCACATACATTTAAAAAAAGTTAATTGTCAAATAAATCATGATTCGGTCAGCTTCTTTGAATTTTTACAGAACCAAGGTTGTGTAAACTATACTTAGACAGAATTTTAGCCTCCTAGTGTTATAATCAGGGGTAAAACCATTAAAAATGACCTTTTCCTCTTTACTAGTATCGGTTTTCATTTATTTGATAATTAAGCCACGATTGTATATTTAAATAATAAATTTAGTATCAAAAAAGGGCAACTTAATTAATTAGAAACTAAATTTAAAAAATTTCGGCTTCTTTTGCTAGGAACAATATTTAAAATCCTCATAAGGAAAAATGGGTTACTCCGATTTTTGTAAAATTCCAAGCAAATATTATTATTACCATTAAACATAACATACGACATCAAAAGTAAAATCGATAAAAATTAGTTAAAAATGTGTTTATTTTATATATTGTAGATAGTGTATTTTATTTGTCTAAATTATTAATGTTACTAAATTATCTGAAAAATTCCTATAAACTTTTTAATGCCTAACCCGTAAGTGAGGCTCCCGACCGGGCTATGCATATATAAAAATATGGTACAGGTTATTTCATTAATTTATTTTTTACACTAATATTAACTTTATTTTATATATATGAATTTATGTAATATAAATTTCATAATATATATAAAAATATGGTACAGGTTATTTTATTGATTTATTTTTCAAAGGTTGTGCATGTGACCGGTCAAATATGATTCGGACAATTGACCGATATTTGACCGGTCAAATTCAAACATATGTTTTTTACGCCAATATTAACTTTATTTTGTATATATATATATATATTGTGATTATGTAATATTAAATTTCCTAATATTTTTTTAATTCATTACATAGTTAAAGTTTTGCCCTTTGTGGCAGAGACTTGTTCCAATTCATATTCAATATCATTATTTTCTTTAATATTTTTAATCAATCTTAAGTTATGATATACTCTTACCAATTTCCCTGTTGTAGAAGACTTCAATAGATATAAAACTGGCCAATTTCTTTCTGAAGAAGTCAAACTAGGAATTGTTAGTAAATATTTGCCACTTCTCTTAATGGACAAGGGGGACAAAGTGCATTTCACAAACTTGAGGCCGAAATTTGATTGTTTCTTATGGAAGTGTATTAAATATTCTGTTTTTATTTATGAAATTTATTAAATCACTTAAAATATTTTGATTATCACCCCCTTGTAAAATACCTAATTCGTGTATTATAACACCTGATTCATCAAATTCAGTACTAGTATGCTTTATATTGGGTGTCCAATAAATAAGCAGAACTGTGAGCACAATCATTTTTTCTCTTTTCAAACATATCATATTGTGATATAGAATATGGCATGATTGTATTATGCGTTTTTCCAAATTAAGCATTTCGTTTTTTACGTGGGTCAAAGTACATTTATCTCTTTGCACTCTCAACATGTGGTAGTTAAAGGTTGGAATATAGCATATTTCTTCATTTAATATATTATTGGTAATTTCTTTGGGACAATTATCACATACTATTAACAAATGATACTTTCAGAACTTTCTTACATATTTGTATTTTCTCCATACATTTTATTGACGATGCTCATCTTGTTTAACATGTTGATTTTGAAAATAGTGTAGCTGTTAATGTGTTTATTCTTAAAAAATTTAACAATTTTTTTAATTATTAAAATATGGTAATTGAAGTCGTTCAAAAGCGTGAAAGAATAACTGCAATGTATGCGCTGCACAACCATAACATTATATATGATTATAAATAGATTCAGATTTTAGAATTGTCCGGGTTGCTTTCATGTTAGCGGCATTATCAGTAACTAAAGAATATACTTTTACCGCATTCAATTCATGAATTACATTTTAAAATTCCTGGGCAATATAAATCGTATGACAATTTTCCTCAGTATTTAAAAATTCATAGAAAACTGGAAAAGGCTTCATCATTATAAAATTAATAATACTTTCGTTTCTGATGTTGCTCCAGCCATCTGATACAATTGATAGTGAGGAGCTTTATCTATTATATCTGCAACTTTCGCTTTCATATCTCATGACGCGTTGTCTAGAAGATATCCAGCCAGCTGCCTTCGCTTGGATAAAGTGTAAATAAGATGTATTTTTTAGAAAATTTTCTTGGATGTAGGGAATTTCAGTGATGTGAAAAGGTAAATTGCTCGCATATACAATTTTTGCAAACAATCGATCGAGCTCTTTTTTTTCTTTGCGATTCATTCTATCTATGAAACCGGTTATAAAAGATCGATTTACATTAGATCGCCTTGCTTATAGATTGATCAGAGATAATGGAATCAAATTCTCCTGAGTCATAAGGCAAAATATAGTCAATTTGATAATTATTTTACTACCAATTCTTCATTAGTGCTATATTACAAATTACATTTGTGTGATTTTTTGTCGAGGTTGATATTTTGGAATTTGAATAAAATTTTTCCTTAATTATGACAAGGCACATAGTACAGCTGCTTAATAATTGCTTGACCATTCTATAAACGTAGGTAATATAGGACATTTACAAAATCTGCATACCGCTTTAACTGATTTACCAAGGTTTACTTCTTGAAAATGTTTCCAAACTTGATGCTTTAATTTGATCATAATCCCTAATACATAGAAATTTAACTATAAAAGATTTTGATTATTGTAAATGTTGTAATCGTGTATTTTTACATTATATATATAACTTTATATAATATCCAAATAATGTATAAATGTAGATTATATATTTAATTTAATATAATATCTTATGATAATATTATATGATATGCAAAGACATCATGTCAATCTCTAGTTTTAGTGAGATGAATGTGATGTTCTAAAAACGAACTCCTTTGTTCAAAATTTATTATTATAATTGTGTTATATGATAAATAAAATTGGAGTTATTTTATAATTATTAGGGCTGTGCCGATATTAAATATCGGATCAAATCGGCGCCGATATTTAGCGTTTTCCGAAAATATCGGATCGGATCCCGATACCTGTAAAAAACCAATCCGATCCGATCTTTTAACTTTTCTTTTTTTTGTTATTTTATTTTATGTTATGTATATTTATTTTACATTATTATAATATTTTCTAAATAATTTAAAAAAAAAAAATTTATAGTATTTTAAAAGTTTTTTTTATAAAAATAGAAAGGAACACGCAAAGTTTTATTTATTTTAAATCTTTTTAAATAACGCCAATTTTTTATTTATACTTTAAATAAAAGAATTTTTTTAATATGGTATCTGAATTATGGAAATATCTTACAAAAGACAAAGATAATTTTGCAAAATGCGTTATCTGCGGAATCATCTGAGTCTGCCTTCAGTACTGCAGGAGATATAGATAGTCCATATCGTAGATGCTTATTCCCAGAAAATCTGGAGACTCTCATATTTATTAAAAAAATCTAACATATTATAATTTTATATATTAAATATTATAATTTTATAATTCATACCAACATAAAATGGATATATTATTAAAAATATATTTTTTTATTATAGTCTTAATGTAGAAATAAAAAAATTAAATTAAATTCATAATTCGATTTTTTGCATAAAAATATTGATTTCTTAATTACATTTGGTTCAAACGGGGGTGATTAAAAATCAGTATAAATATCGGATCGGTATTGAAGCAATATCGGAAAATATAGTATCGGATCGGTGAAAAATATGTGGATCGGCACAGCTCTAATAATTATCGACCAATTATTTCAATAATTTAGCTATTATATAAAATATAATATATAACTTTTTACTAGAATTGAATAAACTATTTTGTAAAATCTGACCATAACAACTAAAAAGAAAATTACAAAAAATACAGCAAGTGGAAGTTAAATAAATGAGAATTAATATAATTTATACTCGGCTAAATATTAAATTTATTAAAAAATAAATCATGACAGTATATTATTATATATTCTATTATTTATAATAGAGATCTGCAAAAGTAGGACCGGCCCATACCCGGCCCGAAGCCCTAATTTTTTTAAAATAAATTAGGGCCGGGTCGGGCCTTAGAAATTTTTTAATATATCTAAATTTATCAATTTTATACTGAATTTTTTATGTAAAATAAAAGTATTTGATTTAATTTATAGAAACTAGATGCCATATAACATATACCTTTTATTTTAAGTAATTATAAAAATTAATTTCTATATTTAAGAATTCGGGCCGGGTCGGGCCGGCAAAACTATAATAAAAAAAATTTCGGACCGGGCCGGGTTTGAAAAATTAGGCTTGTTGCAGATCACTAATTTATAATGCAAATTTTAAATATACATATGGTGAATTCCATATCAAATCAACCAAGGTTTCAACCCGACCCCTTTCAATATTTCTTAAATTTGGTATACTGGTAGTACATATCATAACTAAGAAAAAAATAAAATTTTACCTTCCAACCAGGGATCCAAACCGAGTCTGAACCGTTAAACCGCTAAAAACCTGTATTTTTTATCGAACCTAAACCGAATCGAAACCTCTAAAAAATTCCTAGCCGAACCTGAACCGAACCGCTAAAATGTTTCTGAACCGGTTCGAGTCTCATAATTTTATGCTTATAAAATAATGTGTAAGTTATTACTAGTAGTATATAGCAAAAATTTTAATTATATTCAAATTGTTTTAAAAATTATTATCAATCACATTTGATTGATAAACGTCAGTCATAATTTTTATAAACTTTAGTATATTGCCATTTTGCAATATTTAAATATTTTAAGCTTATAAATTATAATGCCTAGAAAAATATTTAATCTAATATAT